GGAGAGAGAGAAGGTAGAGGGAGAGACAGGAGTCTAGTGTATGAGGAAAGGAGGGGGGGAGAGGAGAGAAAGAAGGTAGGAGGATGAGACAGAAGTCGACAGAAGCTCATATAGGCGCTGTATACTTCAAAGGACTGGATTATAGCGTGAGTGTGAGGAGGAGAGGGTGGGGAGGGGGAGAATGAGGGAGAGAAGATGGGAGGATGAGACAAAACTTCACAAAATGCGATAAGACTGAAAAAAGTTTAAGTCAAAGTACCAACCAAAATTTGACATAAGTCTTTTAAAGACAAACCAAGAACTGAAAGAACGTTTCTCCATAAATGTAAGCAATAAATTTTAAGCTTTGGAAAACATTACTAAATCGGAAGAACTATGGAGCAAAATGAAAGACTCAATAGTGGAAGCTGTGGAAGAAATTACCCTCCCGAAAGCTAAAAAAGCTCATAAAAAATGGATGACCCAGGACATATTAAAGCTAATGTAAGAGAGAATAAAGGCAAAATCTAATGTGGAAAATTACAACATCTTTAACACGGAAATAAAGAAAAAATGCAACGAAGCAAAAGAAACATGGGTAGATGATCAGTGTTAACAAATAGAGAAGAACCAAAACAAAGACAGCAAATACACGCATTCCAAAATCAAAGAAGTAAGTGGGATAAAGGGATGCTCAAATACAGGATGCATAAAATCAAAAGGAGGATATTATTTTAATGGACAACGGGGATGTCTTAAACAGATGGTCAGAATACATAGAGGAACTTTTCAAAGATAACAGAGGAGAAAAACCGGTAATAAAGAATGAAATAAATGGACCACCAATACTGAAAGTAGAAGTACAAGCTACCATTAGGAAAATGAAAAAATGAAAAGCCACAGGGCAAGATAATATTCCAGTTGAAGTGAGTGTCGCGCGTGAAGAACTAGGCACTGAAATAACCACAAAGCTCCTAAATGCTATTTATGACAGCGGTGAAATCCCGGAAGATATGATGAAGTCAGCTTTTATAGCTTAAAACACCAGGTGCCACTGAGTGTGATAAGCATAGAACAATTAGCCTTATGAGTCATTTTACAAAAATATTGCTGCTAGTAATGATGGGAAGATAGAGAAAAAGTGTAAGACCAGAGATATCTAAAACGCAATTCGGCTTTGTTCCTGACAAGGGCACCAGAAATTAATGCTATATTCACCTTAACAATGTTAATGGAAAGATGAATTGAAACTCAGAAAGATCTGTATTTATTATGCTTCATAGATTATTCAAAGGCGTTCGATTAAGTTAGACATGATGAGCTATTTAAAATACTGGAAAAGCTAGACATAGATGGAAAAGATCTAAGAATTATCAGGGATTTGTACTGTGACCAAAACGCTGGTGTGCGAATTAATGGAGAATACAGTGAATATAAGCAGATCAGGCGAGGAGTGAGGCAAGGAGGTGTTATGTCACCAGACCTCTTTAACATAACAGTGAAATAATCCTTAGAAACATAAAAGAATGTCCAGGTCTCAGAGTAAATGGAGAAAATATTAATAACACCAGGTATGCAGATGACACGTTATTGATAGCAGGCTCAGAAAAGGACCTTCAATTGCTTCTAGATACTGTTGTAACAGAAAGTGAACGTAAAGGATTATTGTTGAATGTAAAGAAAACAGAATGCATTGTAATATAAAAAAGCAGCAAAGCTTAGTTGTAATCTCATTAGCTAAGGTGAAAAGACGGAGAATTACAATGGCTAAGGCTAGTTTCAATAAAACGAGCCCAATCCTGAAAAATAGAAACATCTCAATGAACACCAAAATGAAAG